ATTAGACCTGCTCAATTCCCACTCGCAGGCCAGACCCCGAGAAATTTTGGCGGTTAAAATTATTAGCACAGGAACCACGGAAGCTAGGGAGCTGAAATTTTGGGATAATTGACCCCTTGCCCAAGATGACCTTGCAAGTTCAAATTCAGCATTCCCGAGCTCTCGGGCATCACCTACGGTCCCGTGAATATTTCGGCGGGTAAATTATTATCTCGGAGACCATGAAGTCTCGGGAGCCGAAGGTTTGAGGTGATGGTCCCCTGACCACGCACGGTCTTGCAAATTCAAATTAAGCTTTCCCGCCCCCAGATATGACGTATGGCTCCTCTCCTGCGCGCCCAGGTATCACATATGGCGGGAAAACTTATTATCTCGGCAACAGCGATGTTTCCTATCAACTTGCGACCGCCGTAAATTTGGATTCAGCCTTCACGCTCCCCTGGGTACCACGTTCAGCCCCATGAAAGTTTTGGTAAGGAAATTATTATCTTGTGAACTGCAAAAGCTAGAAGGCTGGAATTTTAGCGTGGCATCCCCTGCCCACGTGCAACTCCACAAATTTTTAACGTCCCGTGGAGGTTTTGGCGAGAAAAATTATTGTCTTGGGGACCAGAAGAGTTAGGAAGCATAAAATTTCAGGAGAATGTTTCATGCCTAGGCAGGGATTTAATAAACTTAAATTCAGTCCCTAAATATGCCGAGAATAAGTACGACCACGAGAAAGTTTTGTCTCAAAGATCATTCAACCCAGGCTGGAATTCACCAGGCGGGCCGGTGCGATTATGCGGTTTTGCACTTTTCGTGTCCTAGCAAGATCGCAAGGAATCAAAGTAGCTAACCCTGTGAAATACTGGCCCTCGAAGTTCGGGAAGTTGATTGTGCAACTCTGTGGTATGTCAGTTGTAGTTGTCGACTTCAGTGACCCGACAAAAGGAAAGTTGGAAGCAAAAAAAGGCCACGCTAGAAGAGTTAAATTTAAAATTTTTTAGTCGCACATGAGCAGAGAACATATCCTTAAAATTAGAGCCTTCAGCGTTTCCCGTTTCTGAGTTAGTAATTTTCCCATCAAAATTTTCACGTGTCCGTACATGAGTACTGGATGGTTTTAAGGAACTGAATTTAAAATCTTTTGGTCACAGATGAGTATGGAACATTACCCTAAAGTTTCAGCTTTCTAGCTTTACTCGTTCCCGGGTTAGTAATTTTCGCGCCAAAATTTCCACGCACTCTTACGTAGGCTCGGGCGCTTCTAAACACCTGATTTTGCTCCTACACGAGTAGGGAG